TTAATTAAGTGAATCTGTTGGAGCGTGATAATTACTGTGCACTAGCAGACTCCAGTATCAGCCTCCTTGTGCTGAAAAATGGCAGTGGGGGCACTATATCTAAAGTTTAATTAATGTTCCCCCGCTGCCGTTTTCAGCGTGGGGATCCTGATGCATGTGACACTCTGGGTGCTTTCATTGGAGTGGCTCTCCAATTAAAGCGCCTTCCCCTCCACCCCCACTTCCAGAGCACGTGTATAAATGCCCTAAGAGACGGTGCCTACATAGGAATGAAATACAGCAAAGGGGTAAAAGTGCTGTAAAAGAAGTAAAAGTGCTAATGCTGAATAAGTCAGTGTATTGACATAGCAAACTGCAGTGCAGTGCAAAGATACTGGATTCGATCCCAGAACCCTTACAGCCTTGTCTAATTAGGACAGATGGAGCGCCACAGTGCTGGGGCTATGCTGCCTCTGGTTCAGGAACTTGCTCTGGTATCTACACAGTATTGGACTGCATGGCACCGTGCCATGTACACATATCCATGGAGACTGGAACCAAGCGAGTTAGCAACAGAAGTGGGAACAGAATCAGAAGTCCTATCCCACTTCAACTATACCCAACAGCTGCACCACGCTTTTTCCCACCACGGATTGCAAAATAGACATTACAAGGCAGTCAGTGCCCTTATTATTGTCCCGCTGATATTATCAGACCACTTTTATTATATGTGACAGCTGAAAGGTAGAACATCTGACAACTGTGATCATGTTTCTGAACTCTGTGCAACTTAGGTTGCATTTTTTTTTTTTTGTAAACATACCCTCTGCTTTTTTTCCAAATCAAACCTGCTTTGCCAGCAGTTGTATAATAATTCATTGAGGGGTGTGTGCACATGTGTCAGTTGGTAACCAGGGGGCAAAGGGAAGCATGAGAGGGGGACGAAGAGAAGGGAAAAGCAAAAGAAAATAACTTGAACTGTCAGATTTTTAATTGTTAATTAGCAATATATTATTGACTATTAATAAACAGCCAATCATAAGACTCAGTTCCTCTAACTCCTTTCTAACAGGCCTCCCAGGAACACCTCTCTGTCACTTGTGTTGCATGCAGCACACGGCAGTATGCGTACTGGATGGCTTGAGTAACTCTGATCGTATTACACCCAGCCAGCATTCTCTGGGTTGGCTTCTATAAAGGGCAGATAGATTCTGAATTGGTCTGGCTGATTTTATAGAGCTGATCACAGTTCATGAGTCCCAGCTTTATTTATTTCTTAACCATCCATTCCATCTTTTAGGTATTCAGTCATCTCACCTTGATGAAGCCTTTGCTGTGGGGGCTCCTAACACTTGGAGTTCACTCCCCCTTTGCATCTGTCTTAACCCATGCCTTTTCACCCTTCTTTTTCTCTTTAAGAAGGATTTTAAAATGTAATAGGTTAAGGCTGCTCCTTTCCCCTGCTCCCAATGTGTAGCCTCCTGTGTTTATCCCTGTTTTTAATATATTTTTACAGGTAATGTCTCATATTGACATTTACTATATTTTGTAATAATATATAGTATGAATTGTCCATTTGTGCTTTAAGGCAGGGGTAAAAGGACCACATTGGGCCCTATATCTATCTTTTATTTAAGCACAATGTCCTTTAATTTAATTGATCAGTTTAATGCTAAAACTGACGGCATGGTTGGGACCATTATTCTTATTAACAGTGGCTAAAAATATTTCAAAACAATGACAGATGACCTGGCTGTCCTTCAAATCATGTTTATTATTAACCAGATTCACTTAATTTTTTTTTATTGCCCATCTGTTAACTGGAATTTTTCCCATCCCTTCATTGCTCTAATAAGTAAACAGCCAAGTCATGGTATTGGGATTTTTTACATAAATACTGCTTGCAGGCCAGATCATGAGTTAAACAGGACTACTTGTGTGTGCAGGAGTTGCTCATATATATAAATGTTTGCAAAACATTAAACTTCCTTTCATCATTCAGATGGCATAGCTTACTAATATTGGCAAATTTAGTGCACTAAGAATATAGTTTTCTTCTAATGATGTAAAAAATGATGTGTCCCTTCAGATTATCACCTGGGTCTACCCCCATGAATAGCTTATATGAAAGGGACCCTAGGAGAAAAAATTCAAATGCATCACTCATGCTGGACTACTGCCATAGAAGAAAAATCATCTTGCCTCATGGTGAAATAAAGGATTTTTCCGAAGAGTAATAGCACGAAACTGCTATCTGGAAAGCTTTTCAAGGAAAAGTTTCGTGTTCAGTGTTAAGTGTAAATTCATAGACAATTCTGAATTTAGGGTATTATCAAATATTTTGTAAACAACTTGATGGCAAGAAAATAAAATGGTCTTTGCAAATGTTTTCTGTCCCCAATCACTTTGAAACTTTTTGATTTTGTTGCTTTTATGATGCCCCTGATATATGGTGATATATTTCAAACCATTAAAGCACAAAATAATTTAAATAAAAAAGAAACAAAAAAGAATTCCCAATAATAGACTTGCAAAGGTTTTGATTAAATGCATTGCCCACAGAAACCTTCATTGTGAGATTCTTCTCTTTCTATATTCCTTTTCTTTGCTGTCTCTTACCTTCACATTGCTGGTTATTTACGTGGTTTCTGCAATGATGACATAAAAGAAATCCTTAAGGCATTTCAGCTCCCCACCTTCCTGTCTTTCAGTACAAAGAAAATGCAGGTTAGTTCTGTGGTACCAACTTCCTTGAGGAAACAAGAGCTTTGAATCTGTTTCTGAACAGAAGGTTTATTTGTCTAGTAGTCTTCCTGAAACTGCTTCTTATATAGGTCAAAACTTAAAAAAAATGTTAGAAGAACAACAGTCTCCAAGCACTTTCTGTCAATAAACATTTGTAAGTATTTACGTACCGAAATAAGGCACTATAGAGACAGAAAATAATACAGGGACTCTTCAGGTCATTTGAAACTTCCCTGTGTGATATTTCATCTATGCATCTTTTAGTGATATGACAGCAGAATAGCGACAGTTGGTAAAGCGGATGTAGAAACTTCAAAGGGTTATATACATATGCTTTTCACTCATACCCATGAGAAACAGATCTACTGTAAATACTCTCCAAGTGAAGACTGACAGAGATGCAGTAATAGAGAAGGTGGAAAATGATGGTGCAGTTAAACTGAATTTCACAGAAAGACGTTAATAATTAGAACAAATTTTTAGCATTTCCTAATAGAGCTTTTTTCCCCCTTTTACCAAGCTTTACATTTTAATTTTCAATCTTCCCTTGCAAATTACATATTAATTCTGTTTAACTCCAACTTTTCAAGTCTGTCCTGTCTTCTCACTGTGAAACGCCTACCACACTTTAAGCGCACTTCAAAATAATATTAACAGTGGACATATCTACACATGCTTTAATGCGCCTTTTCTAATGCACATTTTGTTTTGTACCTCCAATGTAAGCTACTAAATTAATGAGCATTAGGCTGCGCTAATGTGCAGTAGTAGTGCATTTGCATGCTTTTCTAGTGATGCTCGATGCACAGTAGACTATTTTACTGTACATTAACATAATGTCATGGTTTTTTATAGGACACTTTAATCTGTACTATGCAGTAAAATAGTCTACCGTGCATTAAAGCACATGTGTAGACATGCCCACTAGGTTAAGACTTTGGAAACTTGGGCACATATTAACATGTTTCTAAGTATTCATTTAGCTGGCTGTCTGAATAGCATAAGTGCAAGTCTTACTTACCAGTGAGATTTATAGCTTTTAATGATAAAAATAATGCTTCTAATGTACTGAGATTTTTATTATTGGAATGATTTCATTTGATCACAAATTCTTATTTAGTCAGTATGCAACTGTTTCCCTTTTTTTTTTCCTTTACGATTGCATACATTTGTGCTTTATTATACTGAAAAGCTGTGTAAAAACTGGCCACAAGACAAACTGTTTTCAAAATAATATTGCGATAATTTTGTAAGATGCAAGAAATTCCCATACAGAGATTTGTTAAAGAGAACAATGCAACCTCACACGGAGGCCTGTGATACAGTACCACCTCATCTTTTGTGTCACCAGGACCAGTCTGCCATCTCTATCGACGCCTTATTCAGACAAAATCTTCTCTGATTTCAATGGCAGTCTGCAGTGCTTATCAAGAACATGTTGTAAGGATGTTATCAGGCCCCCATTGTACAAGCCCTCCACACAAAAAACTGCCATTGTTCTTAATGGGAATTCTCCAGGTGGAAGATTTGCTGGATCAGGTTAACAGGGACTGTCTAGTCAGTCTGCTGCTAAAAAAGAAAACTTAGTGAATTAATGGTGTGTATTTTCCCATTGTGTGCCTGATCTTGCATTCGGAGCACAATCAAAATCAAAGGGAGCAGGTGGAATTCAAGGTTGTGCAGATAATTAATTCATGATCAGACCCTAAATAAAAAGGGTGCAGTCTTCACAACAACGGTATGTGCTGTGATCTGACATCCCGGAAGTAGACTGCATTATCCTATACATCCCGCCCTTTCCTCAGAACAAAATGCTCTTGAATCATTCTTAAAACTAAAACTAAACTAAACTAAAATTAAGACGTCTTGCTGATTGCAGGCGAATACCATTTGATATAATTTGCATCTGCTCTTTCACTGCAAAAAGTATCCAGGTTGCAGCCATATTGGTCTAAAGAAAAAAGCAATCGGTACTCATGGTAGAGATGATATATTTTATTAGACCAACAAGCTGTTTGCAAAAAAAAAATATTTAATTGCAAGCTGCCTGATGAAAGGTGTTTGTGCCCGAAAGCCTGCAAGTAAAGACATTTTTTTGCAAGCATCTTGTTGGTCTAATAATAGATATCATCTCTACCATGAGTCCTGATTGCTTTTTTCATTGCAAAACACTTTCTAGGTAAGGTCTCTGGTAACATTTGTACTCCCTTATTATCTGATTGAAATCATTGGGGGATGAATCCTCACAGGCGCCCTAGTATGTTGTGGCAGGGGTTTTTGTTTGCAATTGATGAAGGTATTTTTCTTTTCCATAATTAATTTCAGTTACATAACATCAATTAATATCTGTTCTGCTTTGTAAAGACAAACCCTTTTAGAAACCATAGCTGCATTACTCGCTATCAAAAATAGATATAACATATCCTCTTTTGAGGCACTGTAGAAGGGTTTGAAAAGATACAAAAATACATATACAAATGACTCTCCTACTACACTTGCAGTCAATGGATCCAGACAGTACAATATGGTCTAAATTAAATCTGTAAGTTTATTTCTGCAAGACAAAGTACCATGACTTAAACAGGCACCTTCATATCCAGACTTATCCTTCTCATAAAAATTACTCCCTGACCTTTTTTATTATTATTATTTAAGTTCCAACTCAAGGTTAATAATAATAATTGTTAAAGGCTTTTTCTGTATCATGATAATGTTTCTATTCAGAAAAGCAGTTAAAAACTACTGACTGGATGACAGACATTGCAAAGCCCTAAATATTGCAACCTCCCAGGGCAGATATGAAGTTACTTTTCAAGGGAAGGTCTAATTCCCATGTGGTTGACTCAGTCCAAAAACAATCATGCAAATAAATGCAAGAGTCAGGATTTTTAAATGAAAGCAGCAGATGAACATTTTCACCCCTCCAAGGCTGCTTAAAATCTCTCACAACTTTACCAATAATAATAGAATACAATTGTCCTGCAATAAATTACACAACACATACCTTGTGCTACCAACCGGAATAAGAAAAAATAAAGAAAGGCTCAAGAGTTTGTGCTTATTGCATGTTTCAGACACAGCCCCACCAGAGTTTCCTCTACCACGTGTGTCAAGAAGGCTCATCAGAGATGGTAAATTTGGGCTTTAACCTGACAGTCCGCTTCCTAATGGTGCCTTTAGGCGACCGTAACATGGTGTCTATGATGCTTCTGTTTTCCTCCAGCTCCCGGGCAGTGCAAGAAGGGGTGGGCACTTTCACCGTGTTGCCAAACTTGGAGTAGTCCACAGAGTATCGCCCATCTTCCTCGGCCACAACGGGCACAAACCTCTGGCCCCAGAGGATCTCGTCAGCCAGGTAAGAGGTGCGGGCTTGGGTGGTGATGCCCGTGGTCTCCACCACACCTTCCAAGATGACGATGACTTCCAGGTCCTCCTGGTGGTTAAGGTGGAGAGGGGAGATGTCATAGAGGGGGCTGTTCTGGTCGATGACATGGCAGACAATGAGCGGTGCCACCAGGAAGATGCTGTTGCTCCCCACCGGGTTCTCCACCTGGATGTCGATCTGGTGGAGGGGCACCACCTCGCCCTCCAAGCTGGTGGTCTTCCTCACCACCTGCATGCGGATGGTGGCGCTGATGATCATGCTCTTGCGCAGGTCGCCCACCCGCAGCATGAAGCAGAGCTTGCCCTCCCGCAGGGCGATCACGGCGTGCTTGCTGAAGATGAGGGTCTCGGCCCGGCGGTGGGCCTGCGCCGTCTTCATGAAGATGCAGCCCAGCATGATGGCGTTGATGACCAGGCCCACGATGTTCTGCACGATCAGCACCAGGATAGCGGCCGGGCACTCCTCGGTCACCATGCGCCCGCCGAACCCGATGGTCACCTGCACCTCGATGGAGAAGAGGAAGGCGGAGGTGAAGGACTGGATGCTGGTCACTTTTGACTTGGAGGGACGTGGGCAGTGGGGTTCTGCAGGGCTCGGTCCTC